CAAAAAATCCCCCCACATTAGCAGATGTTATCAGTGGTACCACTACTTCTAAGAAACAGCATGTCCTTACCAAAAAGATTGCAAGAATGTTTGTGGCCGAGGACCTAAGGTACTTGCTACAGAGATGTGAGATCAGAGGTCAGCTCAATCCTGCAACATAAAGGTGGCAAACCTGGGTCACAGCAGAGCAGCAGCACGTTGGGGTGTGTGGATTTGGGGAGAGGGATGGGGCTGCCGAGGGAGGAGGATGCAGGACTGGGCTGAGCCGCTGTGCCCAGCTGGCCCGGGAGCTTACCTGGCAGCAGCCCTGCCCCTCTACACCACCTGCAAGGCCTGAAGTGAAAAGCTGCTGCTGATGCCGCAGTGAAGATTTGGTAGGGAGAAAAAGTAAGCCAGCAACAAAGCAAGACAAAAATAAACAAAATAAAAAATTCACAAAGCTGCCTTAAAGAAATGAACAACACAAATATGGAAGAGAAGAAAATAAAAGAGCAGTAGGAAAAACACGTCTGCCAACGGCCCTCCCTGGGGAGTGCTGCCAAGAGCCTCCGAGGGACACGATGCCCGGGCACTGCCCATCAGCTCGAGGGGCACTGTCCTGGCCTGGGACCTAAAAGATGCCTGGGAGGTCCTGCTTGCCCAGAAGTCCATCACCCGCCAGAACCTGTTCTACAGTCCTGAACACAAACATCCCACTGCTGTCCACAGGCAACGTCCCCTCAGTGTCTCCAGGTGACAGCAGGAGCATCTGTTGCCGTAGAGGATCCAGCCCAAGGCCCTGCACGACTCCTGGCCCTGAAAATCTCAGCAGTGATTGCTCAGCTGGTTCAGATGGAGCTGCTGGTTCAAAGGGTTTGAGTTTGCCAGCTGCAGGCAGATTTTTGCACTGGTGCTTATAGCAGGATCCTGAAAAGCAATTCACATTGACCCTCACAGGTTTCTCTCACATTCACTCAGCTCCTTCCACCACTCCTTCCCAACAGACCTGCTTCGGGTTTCACAGGTTGGGGGCTTCAGGCGTGATAAAGATACAACAAAAGAAAGAAAGCAAACAACATTCTTCCTGATGCCATCAATGCAGAATCAACCCTATCCCAGAGGAAACCAGAGGTCATTTCTGTTGCTGACCCCAGAGCACGCAGCCCTTGCAGATCTTTGTTTGGCCGTGCTATAAGGCAAATGACACCCAAGATCTGAGGGCAAGTCGGGTTCGTGTGGAAAGAATGGCTGCAGCCTGTGCAGAGCCTCATGCGCCAGGACCAGAGCGAGCGCGTGTCAGTGCCAGCCCTTGGGCAGGTCTCTGGGTTATGCTGCCTACCCTGCTGCCCTGCTCACGCCATGGAGACAAACCTCAGCCAGCCCCGCTGCTGGCAACGCAGGGACATCACCCAAAGACCCCGAGGAAAGGCCTGTCAGCAGGAGCATGCCTGACCCAGAGGCAAGGTTCAATCCCTCCATCCTTGCCTTCTCTGCCATGCTCAAGTTTCCATTTGGTCCATGTCAGGCCTTTACACCACGCCAGTCGTGGTGGTACTTCAACCACGGCACCACGGGCACGGGGTGACAAATTCCCGCAAATCGTTCTTTTCCCTGCACACTGCTGAGCAGAGAACTGGATCCCATGGCCCTTGGGACAGCAACGGAGAGAACATCTCCCAGGCTTGAGCCACCACTGGGAAACCAGCTCCTTACAGCTTGCCCAAGAGGGAAGCTGCAAACATCTGCTAGAGAGCAGCCTGCCACAGAGCCTGCTTGTAGGGCAAAGCCCTTGGGTTTGGGTTTGACATCTCTGGTTAGCGAGGGCTCTGTGTGCCCGTGGGCCCAAGGGCACTGACAGCACACCCTGGCCTTGGACCGGGCTTCGCAGCTCGAGGAGGTTGATCTCCCTTGTACAGGCTGGAAAATCTTGAGCTAGGAAGCTTGGTTTTGGTAACAGGACAGGTTCTTCTTCTCTTCAAGCAGGTCTTGGGAAGAAACTTTACCAAAATTGAGTGACAGACAATTCTCCCCCTCTCCCAGGCCCACTACATGGTAACTCCCCACCACTTGCAGCTGAGGAGTCAGGCCTCGGTATGGACATTTCCAGCCTCAGCCTCATCACCGTGAACTCTGATGCTCCACACTCACTCACTTTGCTCCAGTATTTCTGAGCTATGCCCATGTCCTCGGTTTGGAGGCCATCCACAGGGTAAAGGGAGGGGAAGCAGCCAGAGATCAGGTCCTCAGCAGATGTAAATCAGTGTGGTGCTAATGGGATCAGGGGAACTACACCAGCTTGCATCAGCTGGAGAATTCGGTCTCAGCATCCAGAGAAGGAGCTTGAACAGCTCCAAAGGTACGATGGGCCACAATGTCTCCATCTCCTAAATCAGTGTGATTTTATTTGTTCTCAGGTCTTCTTAGGTGGGAGAGGTCTGAACCATGGTGCAAAGAGATGTTGAGCCTGAGGTAATACGGGGGGAGAAAAGTCTGAATACTCCCAGGTTGCTTCAAGAGGATGCCAACCAGATGGCTGTGGGCAAGAAGAAGGAAACTCATCTTACCTTTGTTCTTCCTCGAGTTCTTCTTTGGTCATCGTTGACTTGTACTGGTTTCCCCTCAGCTTTCCAGGACTGTATTTAAAAGAGAACATCTCATCTGCAGCTGGAGAGGCGGAGAGACAAAGAAGAGCAACAGATCACATGAGCCAGAGACCCCCCGAAAGTGACAACCAGGAGCAGCCGGCTTGTTCCCTCGAGACGCTTGCTGACCCCTGCTCCTGCACACGCCCCCCAAACACTGTGGCCACTCCAAAACACTGTTCCTCAGCCAGCTCCAGTCGGCAGAAAGCCTGAGCAGTGGCGGGGAAGCTCCATGGATCGCAGTGGAGAGCCAAGGTGTTGCTGGCCAGAGGATGGCCAGAGGCCCGGCTGCAGCTGGCGCTGGAGACAGCGAGGACGCTGCGAGCGAGCAGCTCTGCTGGGAAGCAGATGCACGTAAATCCTACAGCACAGGAACCATATGCTGCTGCTCTCCCGGGATTCAAAGCCTTGCAGGCCCATCTTGGCTTATCAAGACATGGTAATCCTGCCCTGGTTAGCTTGCAGCATTTTCTGCTTTTCCTCTCCAGGCTTGCATTCCTCCTCCCTCCCTCTCCTTGCCCAGGGGCCCTTTCCCGTGCTTGGGGTTCACGGACGGTGCCACAAGCAGAGCTGTCCCAGCTCAGCAGCTCTCCTGCAGCTCTTGACAAAGCTTGTGTAATAAGGAGGCTCCACACTGCAAACCCTGGGGCTGCAAACATTGCTGAGCCAAGGCAGACCCAGGGGCATCAACACAGCTGGGTCCAAGTCCCTCTCTCACCAGCCAACAAACCTGAAGAGGAAACCGAGGTCTCCCTCCGCCAGGCCTGGGTGCTCTCCTGCCGGCTCACCAGCCTTAGCCCTGTGCTAATTAGAGCACCGGAGCTCACGGACTCTGAGCCAAAGCCGATCCTTTTCCAATCGGATTTTGTTCGAGCACTATTTGCTTTTAAAAACCTCTCCCCTGCTTTATCTTCCTGCAGATGCCAGAAAACAACAGGAGTGGAGGGCACTCCAAAGGGCAGCCCGCAAGGAGCAGCTCCTGTGGGTAGCTGCCTTTACTGGTTCTCTGGGGGCTGGTTATCTGCAAGCCTTTATCTCCCAAGGACTGCGGGACTCAGCTGCTTCACATCGAGCCTTTGAGCACTGCTGTTCCCACATCCACCCAGAAACATCTGCTGCGTCCCTCAGAGCCCTGGGGCTACTTCTAAGAGGTCCACAAAAGGGAGATGTGATTGTGTTATCTGCATGGCCCTGAAATACTGCACATTACACACAAACCGAATATCCCAGATGATACCTCCCAGCACCAGCAAGACCCCAAAGTGGTGAAACTCCTCTGACTTCTGTGGCAGGAGAGAAAGCCCCAACTTGTACATAACCCATGGACCCCAACCACCCAGGAAGCCCCTTCCAATCCTTGCCACTATTGCAGGCACCACGTTCGTGGTCAGCCTCTTCTTCGAACCGCCCAAATGCAAACCCCTTGGCAGCCTCTCCTCCCAGAAGGATTCAGCAGCAGCAGCAGCTTCCCTTTGTTTTCCAGCCAGTACTGCCCTTAAGGATTTTCTCCCTCCCCAAGGTCAGCTGCTTGATTTAGCGATTTCTCCAATCCCAAGCTCACGCAAGCGCTCAGCAGCTGCCAGAGCTCTCGCAGACCTTGGGGACCCCCACGCAAATCAGAGCCTCGTTTGGTAGACTGGGAAACCTGAGACCTCAAAACCGAGCTGTGCGAGGCTGCGCGGGCAGGTACGGGACAGAGAGTGGCGGCCGCTGCAAGGTCACAGCCCCTCACACACAGAGCGTGCCTGGAGTGACAGCGGCCGGCTGGGAACTCAACAGAAACCCCCTCCCTGAAGGTACCCACCCCTCCTCCCTTCTCTGCATCTCTGCATCCCCCATCTGGGAGAGCCTCCCTAGGAAGTCCTGGGGGATTACTGCTCAGTTACTGATCCGGAGCAGCTCTCTAATCCCAAAATGCCATTGGGGCTCCTGGGGGAACAACAAGGCAATTTTCACAAGTACATCATCACAAGTGTCTGAAGCGCCTCGATTCTCTGCTCCCACAAACATCTAGCTCGGCCACATCCAACTTCCCTTAGTGGGAAAACCCTCCTTA